TAAATATATAAATCACATTTTACTATAATGTTTATGTTGCTAGAAATCTACTCAGACATCAAAATGTGATTTTTATAGTAAAACTTATGAGAACATAGCTTACATACTGTTATCTGCTATCCAGTGTTGTTTGATGAGAATGATAAGTGGCTGTCCTGCTGGCGTGCATGAGAGCTCAGTTATTGATTGGACATCTTATTTTCATGACTCTTACTATTGAAGTAGCTTCCTCAAAACACCAAGCCTAGTTAGAAATGCCAACTAGAAGTGAGGAGGGGACTGTTTTATACAGACAACCAAATACTAGAAAGAGGTAACAAGTGGAAGCCTGACAGAAAGTAAAGAAGAAAATTCTATCATAGACAGATCCATACATTTTAAAAAACAAAGCAATCCGAGTTGCTTAGAATTTTTACAATGACCGCGGAGGCTTCAATTCATTGTGTCAGCACACTGTCATAATCAAGATCAATGGCCAGTATCAATAAGTTATCAAGGAAAAGTTTCACATCTTTAAGATGATTAGCACATGTGGAATACTTTGTAAAAACATTTCTTGAAAATTTCTTCCTTGGAGGACAGTGACTTTATCTGTGCTCTTCATCTCTATATTCCAGGGCTCTAATGAGTGACTGACACAGAGTATGTGCTCAAGTAATATTTATTAAGTAGTTGAATGAATTATCCTCTACAGCAGTGGTTTTCAACCTTCCTAATGCCGCGACCCTTTAATACAGTTCCCCATGTTGTGGTGACCCCCAATGTCATTGTTACAAATTGAACATAATTAAAGCATAGTGATTCATCACAAAAACAATATGTACTTATATATGTCTTTTCCGATGGTCTTAGGTGACCCCTGTGAAAGGGGTTGCGACCCACAGGTTGAGAACCGCTGCTCTAAAGGGTTATTATTCTTCTTTAAAAGTTTTGGTACTTAATTCAACGGTGTTAAGTTTGCTTTATCCAGAAGACTTAACTAGCAGGAAGATTCAAGATAAGCAGATTTCTTCTGTACTTCTTCCATGAAAAATGAGATCAAGATCTTATATCATTTAGCCCGTCTCATCAACAGCCTACAGCAAAGATACACTGTCATGGGAGTTTTCTAGGTAGCACCATCCATAGCATCCTATGCCTGTAGAATACCTCCAGTGGAAGCTCCTCAATGAAACTAACAGCTCTTGCCTTCTTTCCAGAAATCTTATGTCCAAATCCTCCAGATATTCGTAATGGAAGACACACAGGAAAACCTCTGGAAATCTTTTCTTTTGGAAAAGAAGTAACTTACACATGTGATCCCCAACCAGAGAGAGGCATGAACTTCAGTCTCATTGGGGAACGCACCATCCGCTGCACAAGTGACAGTCAAGGGAACGGGCTCTGGAGCGGCCCTGCCCCTCGCTGTGAACTTTCTGGTCCTGCTGGTCAGTACACATTTCCGCATCCCATATGTGTCAGTGCGTCTGGCAAGAACCTCCATATTTCTATTGTGACAGTTTCTGTTCCTCTGAATATCACTTTGTTATGAATATCAGACACAGAAGTACCTGCCAGGAGAATAACAGATGGTTCTAGAGGTGCTGCACTGTGCCCCAACTGGTGGTATTCTGATGACCCTGCCCACTGGGGTGAGGAATGTAGGATGGTGAGGGCAGGAAGCAGTAGAGAGTAGAAATTATCAGTGAGGCCCAAAGTTTATAGAGAATATTTTAAAACCAGTGAAAATATTTGGTTATGCCATCTCTATCACTAGTTGTTTCCATACTACAAGGATGGTGTGCAGACCAAAAGGTACATGTTGATGGAGTAATTTCCTTCAAAACTGGTAATGCTCTAGAAGTAATTAGGCAAGTCCCGATGTAGCCATTTGTGCTCCTGTAGTTACTTCTAAGAGTTCTGCTCAGCCCATGACTGTATTTTGTTGACGCTTCTTCTCATCTTTAGCAAAAGGAACTCAGGATGCCCTGGGGAAGTGAAGTGGGTGGTTGTGCTCTTGGCCTCTGGCTCAATCCTTTCCCATATATTTCTAGCTTTAAGTGTCATTACCTGGCAACCAGAAGCTCCTTTGTGGCTGTGACTGGCCACACAAGCTCCGTCCTCCAGACAGGACAGGTAGCATTGGCTGGGTGATTTGTAGATGCCAGTGGTATTTCTGTCTGGTGGAGTCAGCAGGTAAAGACATACTACATGATCCTGTTTAAAAGCTGAGAGGTCTGGGTTCAGAGAATGAGTCTTCCCACTGACCCACAAACATTTAGTGCCTTTAGTCCTGCCTGCCTAGGTCTTCATGTGGCTCTAAGAGTCAGAAATATTATTTAATGTGTTGGCGTGTTCATACTTCTATGTTTAACTGAAAGTCTTTTCTTGATCTTAGCATGCCCACCTCCACCCAAGGTGCACAATGGGCGTCACACGGAAGGACATGTATCTCCATATCTTCCTGGGATGATCGTCAACTACACCTGTGACCCAGGCTACCTGTTGGTGGGGAAAGGCTTCATTTTCTGTACACATGAGGGAAACTGGAGCCAAGTCTACCATTATTGCAAAGGTACCTTCTATTCTTGCTGGGCTTTTATGGAAGATTTCTGCATGAGGCTAATAAGGCTGGTGGAGATCTCTTCTGAGAGGATGGTGAAATGAGTATCAATAGAGGAGAAGCAAAGAAGAACAAACAGTAGGAAGAGAGGCTGCACAAATATCCTTACCTCTACCAAATAAGTAGGAAGAACAGAGGGAATTGTCAGTGAGAGAATAGACATCAACCACGAATTTAAAATGCTTTCCACGCCTTTTACTAATAAACTATTTCAGCTTTAAAGGATCACATATGGTCCTCACAAATACCCTTAGAAGGTCAATTAGAGACTAGAAGCACTTTGTTGTGAGGACAGTGGAAGTGAGGTCGGAGCAGTAAGTTTTAGAATGACTAGGTGTGGAGTCTCGCTATAACTTCCAAGTCCAAAGGTAAAGAGTTTATTGCCTCTTTCCTGCACCAAGTGCCAGGAATGATTTTGTTATTCATATATAATGAAATATGACTTTAAAACCTTTCTTGGCAATATTCTAAAAAGCTACAAAATGTGGAATTAAAAATCATATTCTCTGACTAGGCATGCTACTGAGATTTTTACTGACGTGATGTGTTTAGTCCACAGAAGAATCTGATGAGGTGGGGTGATTATTCTTGCTGTCTTACCGAGGAGGAAATTGAGGTGTAGAGAGATCCAGTTACTAGCCTATGATCCTCAGCACAGGAGTCATGGTGCTAGGATTGGACCCCAGCTCATCCCCTGCTTTCTAACTCTGCGCTTTATAGTGACTCCTTGTAAGTGTGGCGTTTTGACTTTTCAAAACTATAAGTTAAGGGCTTTTTGCTTTGCTTGTTTCTCTTCTATTCTTTCATATTTCAAATACTGTGTGATCTTCCTATTTCCTGTGGTATGACCCAAGTGGATCTAGGCTGGAGTATGCTTATCCTAACTCCTCATCTTTCCACAGCTTTCCAGTTCCAGAGTTGCTCACAATTAAAAGTGGATTACAGTACACTCCATATTCCTAGGACAATAAAGTTTGAGAATCTTAAAACATAAGATATTTAGGGAGGGGCTACAGTTTTTCTAGATTGAAAACATGACCCATCTTTGCTGAAGGGAAATAGATTTGGGGGGTCATAGGTCTTTCCATTATGGTAGTTACAACTAAAGTTCTCAATAAAATCTCAATTTC